TATCTATCTATCTATCTATCTATCTATCTATCTATCTATCTATCTATCTATCTATCTATATGTAGCATCTGGGGTCTTGTCCTAATACAAGTTGAAATCTGGGAAATCTATCAACTAGTCCATATAGAAGCAAGAACAACTAAATGTGATCAAAGGATTTAAATAAAATTCATGATCAGAGAAAAGGGTTATTCGAGTTTAAATTTTGAGCACTTGTCTGTCAGTTTGTCATAGTTTGTAGTGTAATTCTGGAAGATACATCACTGGTATTCCAATATCAGCAGGGTTAACCAAAATGAACAGGTTTCAGCTGAGCTTCCAGTCCAAGAACAGGTTCTATAGAAGGAATAGGAGGAATCAGCCACTGGAAACCTTGTGAATAGCAGCAGAACCTTGTCAAATACCGAAAACTGCAGGAATAGCAGCACACATAGCAACAATTGTGAAGTGGCACAGGACCAGGCAGTGTTTCATTCTGTTGTACTTAGGGTAGCTGTGAGTCAGAACCTATTCCACAGTACCTAACAATAACAGGTTTGTGGAAGGTTATGGTTTACAACGGGAGATCCAAATTCATTTTCTTGTTGTTTATACATAGATTGAGCCTCCATTGAGTTCTTTCTGATCTTTGACCAGCAATATGAAAAGGCAGAGTGTGTTTGAAAATGGACTATGACCATTTCCCTAGCCAGCCCTGGGAGGCCAGCCTCACTCTCAGGGACTTGTATGGATGTGCCTTTGATATAAATTGGGGTACTAGAGTCACATGGTCATGAATCATACCTTAGCTACCATAGTTGAAGGCCCTGAACCAACCATATAAGCATTTCTAGTGTATAATAGTGTATCTAGTCCAATCATGATCCCTTTCCTGCTTCTGTAGTTGCATCTACACCTGTGATAAAATGACAAGTCACCAGTCATGATTTTCTGACAGTTTCCTTTGTTTTCCATGTCCTATTTAAGCAACGGTATGACTGAGAATCCTTGGACACCATTATGTGTTCCTACTGATAGTCTCATCCAGATGATTTGTCTTTGTCTTTATCCTTCTTAAGACTTAATAAATGAATTTGTCTGTAACTTATATTTGAATTTAGGATCCCTTTTCCCCCTAAAACACATCTTGAAAATAAAATAAAAACTTCTTCTCAAAAACCACGCAAACATATAGTTCCTTGTGTGACCTCCTCCCTGGGGGACAGACAACCGAAAAGTGGATGAAGGGAGACGTTGGACAGGGCAAGATATGACAAAATAACAATTTATAAACTATCAAGGGCTCATGCGGGAGGGGGGAGCGGGGAGGGAGGGGAAAATGAGGACCTAATGTCGGGGGTTTAAGTGGAAAGAAAATGTTTTGAGAATGATGTACAAATGCGCTTTACACAATTGATGTGTGTATGGATTGCGATAACAGTTCTATGAGCCCCTAATAAAATGTTTTATAAAAAATGGAATCACAGATTTGACAAATGTATCAAGTGTAATGGAGAGAACTTTGAATGTGATGAGGTTGTTTTGTAAAAAAAAAATTAATACATAACTTTGAAAAAGAAATCCGTTTGGTTGCGGGGAGGGGATATACCCTCTTATTTAAGGAGCTGCTTTGTTGTAAATCAGATGTATTGATGGAATATCATTTTTTTTGAGAAATTTAAAAGTTCTCTATCTGACAAAAAAAAAAAAAAACCACAAAAAACCATGCAAACAAATAAGCAAACGGATAAGCTGTGCATAAGTGGAGGGATTTACTTCTGGACTCTCAATGCTGTTTCCTTGATCTATGTGTCTGTTGTTATACCAGTACCAAGCTGTTTTGACAACCTTTGCTGTGTAGTAGATTTTGAGATCAGAAACTGTGAGGCCTCCCACATGTTTCTTCTTCTATCTGGAGTGTCTTTCCTTTCCATGTAAAGTTGGAGATGTGTTTTTTCATCTCTTAATAGAATGATGTTGGAACCTAGATTATATTTGGAGATACAGCTGAAGAACTTTTGGCTGTTGGCGATTGGCATTTTCACAATGTTAAGTCTTGTTATTCATTGGTTTCTTTCGGCTTCTTGAAGTAGTTTTTATAGTTTCCTTTATAAAATTTTCTGTTTCTCTAGTTAGATTTTTCCCCAAATATTTCAACTTATGGGTTACCATTATAAATGGTATTGTTTTCCTAATTTACTTGTCAAAGTTCTGTGTTAGTGTAAGGAAATCCAAATGATTTTTATATGTTAGTCTTATACTCTGCCACTTGGCTTAATCTTTCAATTAATTTCAATAATTTTCTTTCTCAGTCTTCGGGATTTTCAATGTATAGGTTCATATCATCTGCAAATAGAATTTTAGTTCTTCACCAATTTAGATGACCTAAATTTACCTTTCTTGCACTATAACTCTGGCTAAGACTTCCACCACAATATTAAATAGGAGTGGTGATAAAGTACATGCTCATCTGGTATTTGTTTGCAAAGGGCTTGTTTTTAGGTTCTCTCTATTGAGACTAATATTGGCCTTTGGTTTTGTATATATGTCCTTAATTATGTTGAGGAACTTTCCTTTTATTCCTATATGGTTGAGTTTGTTTGTTTTTTTAAAAATCAGGAATGAAAGTTAGATTTTGTCAAATGTCTTTTCTGCATCAGTTGATATGATTGGGTTATTTTTCTTTGTTGAATTGATGTGACTGTTTTTCTAACGTTGAACCATCCTTGCATACCTCATAAACACCACTTGATCATAATATTTTTGTTTTTGTGTTTTAAAAAAATATATTGTTGGATTCTATAGGCTAGCCTTTGGTTGAGAATTTTGAATTTATGTTTATGATATATATCATTGTATAATTTTTTAAACAAAGCATTTGACTGGTTTTGGTATCAGGTTTATGCTTGTTCATAAAATGAATATGGGAGGTTTCCATTCATTTGTAGAATATGCTCTGGAATAGTTTGAGTCGAGCTGGTATCAGCATTTTATACCTGAATGTTTGGTAGAATTTACCATTGATGTTATCTTTGTCTGTTTGTTGTTGTTTTTGTTGGGAGTTTCTTACGATTTGATCTAAATTTCTTCTTTTGTTATAGGTCTGTTCAAATGTTCTACTCCAGTTCATGTTTTAATTTTGGTAGGTAGTATGTTTTTAGGAATTTCTCCTAAGTCTTTGAATTTGTTATGGTATAGTTCTGTATTATTCTTTTTATTTCAGTTGGTTCTGTTGTAACATCACCTATTATTTTCTTATTCTTATTATTTCAATCTCCTTTTGCTTTGCTAGATTTACCAGTAGTTAGTAGATTTCATTAGACATTTCAAACAAATAACTTCTAGTCTTAATTATTCCTACTTGTATTCCATTTCATTTCTTTATGCTGTAATTTGTATCTTTTATTCTCATCTTTTGATTTTAGGTTTATTTTGTGGCCCTTTTATTAATTGTTTGAAGTGTTGGGCTAATGTGTTGACTTGGGCTTTTCTTTTTTGATGTGTGTGTTTATTGCTACAAATTGCCCTCTGAGCCCTGTTTCTGCTATGTCTTAAAGGCTTAGTATATTGTGTTTTTATTATTTGATTCAAGATTATAAATGCTTTCTACTTATGACTAGGTTTTAGGTCAGGCATGGGTTTTCTTTTCTAAGAAGTGGGCTATATTATGTAGTTCTAACTACAGAGCTTGTTCTTCCTTTGGATCCCTTTCTTCAAGTAAGCAGCGCTTATATAATCACTTGTGTTAGTCCCATTGCAAGAACAATGGGGATTTAATAACCAAACAACAAAACAATGGAATTGCCTAGCTAAAACTCATTTGAAGACTGAAAGAACAGGATGATACTTCAATCTAGTATTTTGTTCTCTTTTAAATTACAGAGAAAATAATATTGAAACCCTAAAGCCAGAAATATATTTATTTCCTGAAAATTTGGGAAATGGAGTAAGAAGAGTTTGTTAGGCCAAGAAATAGGGTACTGTCATTTCTTAGTAGTATAGATAGTTTCTACAAACTATCTAAGTATTACATTTTTACCTGATTTGATAAAGTAGGGAGGAAAAAAAAAGTAGAAAAGAGACAGGCAGGGGAAAGAGTAAAGATGAAGAAAAGAGATGTAAATTGAATTTAATAGAAGTGGGAGCAAGAAAAAAGCAAAAACAAGAACAACTTTTATATGATGCTAGAGAAGCAATTCTATTTTTCATGGGTCATTGCTGAAAAACAATTTTTAATCTTTCTTGGTTTTTGAAAGCAACAATACTCAAGCACACCACCACATTTGATTGAATAAATTATATTAAAAGAATGTAATAAAAATGCTCTACTCCCTTGATATATTCTTCTAATTTAGGAAAGACATAAGGGGGAACAGCTATAGAAATTTAATAAAACCAAGAACTTAACTTACCCTTTTTCTTGTTTTTAACTGGACCTAATAGAAAGAGAAAACAGAAAATTAAATCACTGGAAATTCATAGAAAGCCTTTTATTATTTAAAAAAATTATTTATATTCTTTTAAATTATTATTATTTTTCAGGAAATCTTAAGTTTTAAAAATATAGTCATTAGGTGGGAACTTCAAGAAATTGTAAATTCAAGGAAGCCTCAGAGCACAGGGTCAGCCTTTTAGCAAATTGGGGAAAGTACCAAGTCTGTGGGCCAGTTGTTAGGCTGGAGGCTTCTGACGCATAGTTGCAGGGTCTGTCAAGCCCCAAATCAGCAGGACTTGGCACATAAGTCATACAATTTAATAGTTCAATTATATCAAGAAGAGTTGTACAATCAATACTGCAATCAATTTTAGAACATTTTTCTTCTTTTTTGTACTCATTGTTATTAGTGCTCCATTTCCCCACAACCTTCCCTGTCATACCCCCAAGAAACTGTTAATCCAGTTCCTGTCTCTCTAGGTTTACCTATTCTGGATTTCATACACAGTAAAACATATGGAAAAAAAAAATCCCGAACTAAAACTAACAATAACAAAGTAAAACACAGAAAAACTTCAA